GTCCTCGCCGCGCGGCCCCTTGGCGCCGCACAGGCCGTGCTGCAGCTCGCAGTGGCGCCGCAGCGAGCGGTGGTCGCAGTAGCTCTTGGCGCAGCCCTTCTCGGAGCAGGCGAACGGCTTCGTCTTCTGGTGCGTCAGCATGTGCCCGCTCCTGCCACAAGCGAGACGGGGGGCACGTTAACGCAGAATCCTATACATCTAACCTAAAGAATTCCACAGCTCTGCCGCTTCGCGGCACTGGGAAGCGTGCGATTCCAGGGAGCGCTGCAGCTTGCAGAGCAACGGCTCCTACAGGATTCTATACATTGTGCAGGGCAGGCGCCTACGTACAGGTGGTCCTGGCGCTTGAAGGCTTTGCCGCAGACGCCGCAGACGTGCTTGCGCTCCTGGCTGTGGCTCGCGTGGTGCTTGGCGAGCGCGCTGGCGCTGCCGAACGCCTTCCCGCAGAGGCTGCAGTCCAGGACGGCGCCGCGCGCCGCGCCGGGGCCGCCGGCGTCCTCCGCGGCGCCGAGGGCGGGAAGCGCCAGCTCTGCGGAGAGGGAGAAACGACACCCCCCGGCTTGCGCCCCTTGCCGCCTCCACGCCACGCTCCTCCCTTTACTCCCAATAAAAACCGCTTCTTTTCAAAACTCCGCATGGAAAGGAGAGGGGGGGGAAAAAGAAATCTGCCCCCAACGCTGCAGTTTGCAGCCCTGCCAATGCTTTATTCCCAAGGTTTCCATAAACTGGGATTCCACCCTTGGACACTTTGCAACGCGCCCTGATATTTCCAGCCACTTAACCGGACCAGCAATTGCAATTAATTTTACCATTTTTCCCCTTTCCTGGAAAAAAAAAAAAGAGGAGAATTATGCCTCATTTTCCTACCTGAGTGCAGATACTTCAGGGCTTTAATTTGTGCTGTTTTCAAGTCATCAAAACTGCGTACGCTCCTCCGTTCGTTACCAATTAACTTACCCATTCCCCCAAGAAGAGTGTTTTACTCTCCTTTTAATGGTAGGCCTAGAAAAAGCCCATTTGGCTTCATCCCTTCCGCAGGGAATTTGAAACGCACAAGGAACGCAGCAGAACGTCTCCGGGGAAAGCTAGTAATATCGATGCTCCCAACACATTTAGCGAATCTGTCATTTTAATGCCTCCAAACTTCCCCTCTCCAGCTGGAGAGCAGGGCGCAAGGGCTCCTGAAGAAAACACCCGCCCGCCTAGGGTACAATTTTAAGAAAACGGGACAGAAGCGAAATTCCTGTGAAGGAGAAATAATTCTCGCTCGTGGCGTCATCGACGGGAACAGCGTTTTGCAGGTAAAACCCAGCAAGGGGGTGTTTTCAGAGCGCTTCCGCTGCAGCAACCTGGAGCCCGTTATAGGAAAGGGGAAGGCGCTATTCTTACCCCGCAAGCAGACGCACGCGGGGCCCTTCCTCGCCTATAAGGGC